CCCCAGTGAGGGGCTAGGGGTGTGGCTCAGTGGTAGAGCCCCTTCCTAGAATCCCCCAATAAAGGGCTGGGGGCGTGGTTCAGTGGTAGAGCCCTGCCTAGAATCCCCCGGTGAGGGGCTGGGGTGTGGCTCAGTGAGAGAGCACTTTCATAGCATGTGACAGGTCCTGGGTTCTATCTCCCACACCACTAAAGATAAACAAGGGGTTGATGAGGTTAGTATGACACAGATTCAGCTGGCGTCCAAAGGGACCAGGGAGTAAGTTACCTGCTGGCGGAAGAAGGAATACTCTGGGCTGGGGCTGCCATCACCCTGGCAGAGCAGCTGCACAGCGTCACCCTCTCGGACCCAGCCCTCTGTGGTGGATGGGCTCCCCAGCCAGAATTCCACATGCTCTGTGGGATCTGTGGGAGGAGAGAAAGATCAGCACATGTGTCAGAGCTGGACTGAGGGGAAAGGTCAGTCCTGCTTTTGAGAGGAGAGAGACAGCATCTAAAGCTTAGAAGTGTTGTTATTATCGTCATTATTATTATTTTAGCTTTATAAGCTTTATAAGCTTTAGATTTATAAACTGGGTGCTGGTGAAGCACACCTTTGATCCCAGGACTCCGGATTAAAGGCAGGAGGATCTCTGTGAGTTTGAGGCCAGCCTAGTCTACAGAAAGAATTCTAGGACAGCCAGGGTTACATACCTAGAAACCCTGTCTTGAAAAAAAAATTATGTTTTATTTATGTGTGTCTGTCTTATTCCTTTTGTTAAGTTTTGGGATTCCTCAAAGTCTCTGTAGTTCAGCTAAGTTTTCAGCTCTCCATCTTCCTGTCTCAGCCTCCTCAGTGCTGAGATGACAGGCACCTGTCACCTCATTAATAGTTTCAGACTTACTCTCAGAACACACCAAAGGTCAGGGGTCGAGGTAAGTTAACATTATGTCTCAAGGGTCAGAGGTCAGTGTACAATTTGATATTTAAAACCAGGTGTCATCTGGGGACCCAATTCAGTGGGAGAGGGTGGAGGATCTCATGGGGCACAGGGCCTGTGCTGAAGTCAGAGTCGGTATGTTTGGGGTCAGAGGCCAGAGGTCAGCAGCCTATCCCAGGTGAGAAGGTAGGGTGAGGACACAGTTTGGAATGGGGGCCTGGGAGTTGGGCCTTGATGGGACTGGGTCTTCCGCTAGGGGCTGGGTCGTGGGGACTCACAGTGCAGAGTGAGGTGGAAGGTATGGCTGTCTAGGCGGCCATGTTGGCCTGAGGGCAAGTTGTAATGAGCGGCACAGTGGAAGCTGGCATCCTGATCATCCTTGTGGAGCTTCAGGTAGAGGGTGCTGGTCAGGGAGTACAAGCCGGAGGCCTCCCGGACGGTGCGGCTGGTCATGTAGCCCTCTGTGAGAGAGAGGGGCCGCCGGGAGAGCTGCGTTCCGCCCCCGCGCCCGCCGCCTACATCCCTCCCCCCATCCCGCGCTCCCACGCTCCCCTGACTGCTCACCTTGGGTCACCTCCATGGGCACGTCCAGACGCTGCCCGTTCCGGTACCATGTGATCCGAGGCACCGGGTTTCCGTTGTGGCTGCTGCAGGTGGCAATCTGGGAGAGACACAGGCGGGGCCTAGGCTTGGTGCCAGGACTCTGAAGTCTGCTTCTCTTTCCCCCAGACCTGCCCTTTCGATGTGTCCACTGGCCTCTTTCTCTCCAGGAGAGGAAGCAGAAATCCTAACTCCTGTTCCTCCCATTGAAAGGCCCAGAGCCTGGGCCTGCGAGCCCTCTCGGCCGGTCAGTGTGCTTATGGGGAGGCAGAAGACCTGAGTTCTATCCCTGGAACTGTGTACAGGGTTAGGAAGGCACAGGAAGGCTCTCAAAAGTCGTCTTCCGATTTACACATTCATGCTGTGGCGTAAGTCCTGTCTCCCTGCCCCGACCCCTCAGTACTTATTTAATAGTAATCCATTCATTATTCATTAATAATCATAAAGAACCTGGATCAAGCATGGCAGCACACAGCTTTAGTTACAGCTCTCAAGAAGCCGAGATAGAAGCATCAGTTTGACACTGGCCTGGGCTACATAGTGAGCTCTGGGCCAGACCAGGCATCACGAGACCGCTATTTCACACAACTCCAGACCAAGGCTAGGCGCGCACCCCTAGCCCTCGAATGACTCCTAGAGGCAGGAGGATCAAAAGTTCAAAGTCACCCCTAGCTACACAGCATGCTGGAAGTCATGCTGGCCTGACCAAACCAAACCAAACCAAGAGAAAGACCAGCCGTTACCGCGGCACACGCCTGGGGCCTCGGGACTTAGAAGGTATCACAGATACCTATGTCTACATAGGAAGTTTCAGGATAGCCTGTGCTACACAAGGTTACCCAATCCCCCCCCCCAAAAAAAAAAAAAGCAAAATAAGGAAAAACCCCAACAATAGGGAGGCCGAGGCTTAAAGCTTATAGTTCATTGGTAGAGCATTGGCCTGACATGCTGGACGCCCTAAGGATTCAATCTCCAGTACCACACACACACACGCACACGAAAACCCAAAAAACAAGCAAGCAAGCAAAATCCCCAATGTCAAAGATGGCTATATCTCTGTCTCTTCACCTACTGCCTGTAACTCCAGCGCACATTACCTCCTGGGCAAACTGGTCCATCACTGACAGCGTCCCTTTGTTGGGAGACACCTCCGTGGCCTCCGGTGTCGCTGTTGGAAAGATGTTCTCGTCAGCAAGCCCTTCTCTGGTCCCTGGCTTCTCGGGATGACTTCGGGGGACACTTACCAAACACGCGGACCCTCGAGGTGGCCTCTGAGGTGCCTGCCGACCCAGCCTTCACCACACACACGTAGTCCCGTTCATCCCCCACCTGGGCGTCTGCTATCACCAGGCGCCCACGGGAGTCCACCTCGTACAGGGGTCTGCGGCCCCGAGAGTTGTGGACTGTGCCCCGGAGCCCTGAGCCCTGTGGCTCCACAGAAGCCAGGTGGTGTCTGGCCCCGGAAGCATCAACCTGTGGATACGTGCAGGCGACAGACAGTCTTAGCTCGGTCATGAGCCCTCCTTTCCTGCTGTCTCCCCTCAGGTTTTTTCTGGGTCTAGGGAAGAACTCTAGTGGCTTCCACATGTAACCACTCTACCACTGAGCCACGGCCCCACAGCCCGCTGGGAGGATGCTAGCTAGCACTCTATCAGCCACCGGGGAGTTACACTCTCATCCCTCTTTTTATTATTTTATCTTTATGTATTTATTTTTTTCAAGACAGGGTTTCTCTGTGTATATCCGGTTGTTCCGAAACTTGCTTTGTAGACCAGGCTTGCCTTGAACCCACAGAAATCACCTGCCTCTGCCTCCCTAGTGCTGGGATTAAAGGCTTGCACCCCCACCACCAGGCTTTAAAACTGTTTTTTAAAAATATTTATTTGGTCATTTATATGTGTGTGTATGTCTCTTTCTGTGTGTATGCACTGACTACAGATACCCATGGAGGCCATTGAATCCCCGAGAGCTAGCTACAGGCAGTTGTGAGCCTGTGAGTGCTGAGAACTGACCTCAGGTCCTCAGGGAGAGAACCAAGTGCTATTACGGGCTTACCCATCTCTGTAGCCTCAGCTTTCTCTTTAATTTTTATCTTGCAGTGGGGTCTAGCTTCATAGACCTTGAACTTTCCACCCTCCTAATCAGCTGGGATCCCAGGCCTGAGCATCCTGTCATTTCTTTCATCCCTCTGTCCCCATCCTTAGTCTCCCCCAAGTCCCGACACATTCCTCTGTGTCCCTCATCGTCCCTTGTCCATCTTCTGCTCCCACATCTCCTCCGTCTCACTGTCTCCTGCTCTGTCTTTTATTTCCTCTCCTTCCCTCTTGTCTCTGGTGGTCTCTGACTCTGCGACCCCTCTCTCCAGACCCATGTTCCAAAGTGGGGCCACGTCCTCAAGCCTGCCCTGCTCAGATGCCTGGCCCCTCGCAGAGTCCCACGCCTTCCCAGGTCTCAGGGTCCTCCTCTGTGAAGTGGAAGGGCAGCTTTTGATGGCTCTTCTGAGCAGGGGATCGGTGTAGGCAGGTAACAGGTGCTAATGTGACCAGGTGGCCGGATCCTCCCTCCCCTCCTCCCTCCTCCCATCACCCCCAGCTCCAGCACAGAGAACTCACAAGAAACCATTCCAGCACATAATGCTCAGGGTGTCCCCGTGGAGTACAGTCCAGGGTGATCAGCTCTCCCCGCATCACCTCCACCAGAGGGGACACAGACACGTGCACCTCAGCCTGGGCACCTGCAGGATGGCGCAAGCATCAGATGCCGCCCGCTGCCACCAACGGGAAGAGCCCTCAGGGCCCAGCCTCTTCCCTCAGACTGGAAAGATCTATCTCCCCTTTACACACAGCTCTCCTCCCTTAGACACAGAGGGCCGGACTCTTGCCTTCTCCCTCAGACAGGAGTCCAGGCTCTTCCATCAGACGCAGCTCCTGTCTCCCTTCTCAGTCCCCTCTGAGCCTGGGTCCCATCAGTGTCTCTCCAATTCTTCTGTTTGGAGATAGGGTCTTACCGTGTAGCCTTGGCTTCCTGGAGTTTGCCAGCTCTGCAAACCAGGCTGGCCTTGAACTCACAGAGATCTGCAGCTGTCTCTGCCTCCTGAGTGCTGGGATTAAAGTTCATGCCACTGCCCCCCTCCCCACTTGTAAGGTTTAAGGTAAAGCCTTCTCCAGTACTCCACACTGAGGCCTGGCTTCTTTCACCCACTACAGCAAACATCCCCTCAAGGAAGGGCCAGGCCTGGCTCTCTCCTTGGCCTGCAGCACCCAGGGCAGGACCTGGCCTGGAGCTGAATAACAGGTTCTACATCTGTTTTCATTTCATTTGGTCCCATCCTATCTTCCCCGGTAGCTCCTGGGGGCCCTCCACACTCTCCTGGCTGGGGGGGGGGGGCGCTGGGGTGTGGGCTGCAGCTGGGCCAGGAGCTGGATGGGTGTGGGAGTGGCAAGGGGGGGGACAGGGCTGGGCAGGTTTCAGGAATGTGGGAGGGCCAGGCTGGCTGAGACCTGCCCGGCTTGGCGCCAGAGCCCCCTGCCCGCCCCTCCATCTTTTTACAAGAGAAGCTTGCAAAGGGTTGGGTGAGTCACCTGGGCAGGGGGTGAGGCTGGGTCCCGAGGGAGGGAGAGAGGGCTGGGAGGCTATCCCAGACGCCTGAGGCGTAGCAGGCTGGGTGCTGAAAACATGCACCTCCGGGTCCTAGGGACCAGGGAACGCCGGTCTTGGATTCCTGTCAGGCTCTGGCGGGTGGCATGGTTCTTGCTGGGAAGCTACCCTCTGGGCTGGCACCCTGGCATCATTCCTTCCTGCCCAGCCTGGCCCAGGCCTATCCTGGGCTCCACTTTACACCACGTTTATGCCAGGAGCCTGGGTTCCCAAGCACCCACCTTTGGCCCCAGACTGTCCCAGGGGTGCCACTGTGGGGCCAGGCTGGTGCTGTAGACTGGGTGTGCACAGCCAACGGCCAAGGCAAAGCAGAGAAAGATCCCGTGTCCCGTTCCCACACTGCCCCAGTGTCCTACCAGCCCCTCTGTCCCTCCTCCCCTCTCACCACGTGCAGGTGTGTGGATTTATCGGAGGCCCAGAAAAGGGGCCTGTCAGTCAGAAACACTGTTCCACGTTCCCTGCCAGGCTACTCCAGGCCTTTCCTGAGAGAGACAATCTAAACTCTTAATTTAGGGGAATCCCCAACGTTACAGAAAGTGCTTTAGCCGGAGGGTCCTTAGCTTCTCTGAGGAAACTCTGAAGCTTAATTACTTAGGAAACAGCTCTGGGCTGTTGATCTTCAGTGTCCTAGCAGAAGGTACTCTGACTACGGGGAGGGCGGGGGCTGGACTCCAGTCTAAGGGACTAGGGGGGACACAGAGCCCAGATTCCAGGTACCCAAGATTATTAGGGGTCGCAGGGCTTAGATCCCAGGGTTCCCAGAGACCCGCAAGGGACAGTTATCTCCGATTGTGTTTGCTCCAGAGCTGGGTTATCATCAGCTCTCAGGTCGGGTACACCCCGAGGCCTCCCCGCCCCTGTCCCTGGTGGGAAACCTCTTGATTGTGCTCCCTGGAGAGATGGAAGCTTGTTCCTCTTGTCTTCCCGGGGATCCCGGAGGCCATCCCCACAAGTCCTAACCCCAAGTCTCAGCTCTGCCCTCAGCCCCAAGTCATACCTGAATGGCCCGCCAGCAGGAGGGCGAGCCACAGCAGCCCTGCGCGGGCGTCAGGGGGCTCCATGTTCTCTGCGGTGGCGGCGGTGACTGAGCCGGGGTGAGGCTCGGCCGCTCTGAAGCTGGCAGCGGAGCCACGCCCCGGGCCACGCCCACCCCATCCCCAAGCTGGGCGCAGGTCCAAGACCTCCCACTGCTCTGGGAGGACTTCCCACCCTCGCGCGCGCGGGGTCCCGCGAGCGCCGCGCCGCGCCACGCGCCGCTCCATCCAACCCACGCTCGCGGCTGTCCTCCGCGGCCAGGGGTCCTGACCGACCAGTCTAGCCAGTACCCGGAGCGCGATCCGAGGGACACCGCCGGGACCCTCTTTCCCTTCCTTCCTGGCCACCTGCGGGGCCTGGACACTCATTCCCAAGATGGCCAGCCTCCTCCTCTCTCCCCTCCCGCCCCCGCCCTCAACCCGCTGCAGGTGGATCTCTTTTGGAGGCAGGTGTCACACTGTAGCTCGGGCTGGCCGGGAACTGGGGCAATCCTGCCTCAGTTTCCCAAGTACTGGGTATCTAAGGTTGAGACGTCGCCCTGGGTTTGTGAATTGTCGGTTTTTACCAGCAGTCCCTGGTACAATTAATTGCCTGTCTCTGAAGTCTCTCCTGCATGACTGGCCCTTCCCAGGGTGCCCTGGGATGCCCTCCCTTTAGAGCCACCTTGCTGGAAAGTGTCCCTCCTCTGACTGAGCAGTGGCCTGGAACTGGCCAGGTCAATCTTTTCTCTAATGGGTTTTCAATCCCCAGTCCTCCGTAGGCCTCTTTAGTGATGGGTGGGGACGGGGCGCCCCTCCCTCTGTCCTGTTCTCCCTGACTCCCTCACTTCCCCCCGTCCTGGGAATCCAAGGAATGTTCCCCCCCTTCCTCCTTCCTTCTCTCCCCGACATTCCCTCCCCACCTTGGGGGGAGGAGGGGAGAAGTGGGTTGGCTGGGGCAGGTGAGTGGGGGAGGGAAGAGAAGACGCAGCCACTGGGGCCTGCAGGGCGGAAGAGAAGGTCACAGGTCAAAGTAAGGGGTCACAGATCACTCTGCTCCAGGGTCCTCACTAGTCAGTCTGGAACGAAATCTCAAGAATGCTGGATGGGGGCTGGGGAAGGAGGGTTCCGCCACTGTTCAGTGGGTGGAAGCTAGCCTGGGCTGCTGGTAGGGATGGGGGGGGGGGGGCGTAACTGGTCATGTTGAGAGAGGGTGCTCCTCCTCCACTCTCTGGCCAGTCAGAGGGTGACCAGCAGTGAGCTTAGGGGCCCCTGGAGCCAAGGTTTTACCCATCAGCCACAGAGGAAAGGCTTATGTTATACCTATTGGCCTAGCTCTCAAGGGCCATTTTAGCATTCCTGTCACACAGGACAGCAATTGTGAAACCAGCAAAGCGACCTTTGCTTGGGGCTCCTTCATCTCCTCTTCAGGAAGTCCTCCTTCGATTCTGTCCTGCCTCACAGATCCCTGCAAATCTCTGGACCTGCGTGCCAGGCCTGCACACCCTGGGATGCCCACCTACAGTCAAGGTCCAGGCTGCCCCCATCCCATCCCGCCCACAGCAGGCAAGAAAGGCTTGCGAGGTGCATGTTCACAAGCCCAGAGGCTCGCCTGAAAATGCCATCCCCACCTTGCCATCCCCAGCCAACTGGGCTTGTGGCCCACTCCAGTGATCCTCATGCTCAAGAAGTGGAGGCAGGAGGATCAGAATTGCCTATCGTGAATTCTAGGACATCTGGGCATGGTGGTGCAAGCCTTTAATCCCAGGGCTCGGGAGGCAGAGGCAGGGGATTGAAGTTCAGATCCTAGTACCCCTGTCCAACCAGGGGATCTGATACCTTCTCTAGCTTCTATGACCACCAGGCAGACACATAGTGATTATATGTACACACAGGCAAAGACTAGTACATATAAAATAAAACAGACCTTTAAAAATAAATAATTATTGCTGGGAGGTGCTGGCACACCCCTTTGATTCCAGTACTCAGGGAGGCAGAGGCAGGCAGATCTCTGTGAGTTCAAGGTCTGTAGCCTTGTCTACAGGGCGAGTTCTAGAAAAGCCAGGGGATACAGAGAAACCCTGTCTTGGAAAACCAAAATAAATATATAAATTGAAAAGTATTAAAAATAAAATAAAGATGAAACTTTAAAAGACAACCGAAACCAGATTAGTCACCTCAGGGAGCCCTCCCCACCCCCATGGCTTTCTCAAAAAGTTCCTACGTGCTCCTTGGGAACTTCGTTCAGAGTGGGTGCCCAGTATCATTATGTCACCTTCCTTTGTCCGCTACAATTTAGGTCCTACAAAACAGCCAGAAGAACCCTGTGGAGACGTGAGTCAGCTCAGGCCACTGTTCTGTTCAGAATGCGCCCACGGCTCCATCTCGCTGAAAGTAAAAGCCAGCGTTCTCTCTGTGGTTTGTTAGGTCCTAGATCCTAGGTCCTTTCCCTCCCTGACCCCATCTGTCGCTCCTTCTCCCTCTCAAGCAGTGTTTTTGTCACACTGGTCTCTCTGCTGCCGTGCTTTTCCATCAACCACTTCCCGACCCCTCTGCCCCTCACGGGATGGCTTCCTCCTTGCTTGCTTCTAATCTCTCCTGTGACTTGCCTCATTAGGGAGCTTTGATACCAGCTCTCATTCTCCAGACTGCCCCATGTTTCCCAACTCCATCACCTTATCATGGTGGGATAAATTCTCTTTGTCTTGTATTGTCTGGCACAGAATCTATGCCCTAAGGGAACAGGAACTCCATAAGGGTCACGCTGTATCTCTAGAGCCTGGAACAGTGCCTGACTTGGGACAAATAAATATTTATGTACTGGAGTAAGTCATGTTCTGACTCTGCCCTGTTGTCTCATATGTGCAGACTGGCAATCAGTTGTCACTTAACAGTGGGCATCCGTTCAGATGAAGGCGTGGCTAGGCAATGTGTCCTCCTGTGAGCATCACAAATCAGCTCTACAAGCAAAACCAGCAAAACCAGCTAGGACCTCATTGGATGATATGATTTTATGGGCCACTGTTGCACACGGGGTCTTGTTGTGTTGTGTGACACGTGACTCTATCACGCTATCCCTCAAAGAAACTGCTAATCAGCTGTGCTCATCTCCTCATAGATGTTAGAGTGGTTATGATTTATTTCTGTGTGTATGTGTATGCGTGTATGTCTGCAGAGGCCAGCAGAGGGCACTGCAGCTCCTGGAGCTGAGGAGTTATAAACAGCTGAGAGCCCCTCCATGAAGGTGCTGGGACCTGAACTCTGCTCCTCTGGAAAAGCAACAGTGTCTTTTTTTTTTTTTTTAAAGACTTACTATTCATTATTTATACAGTATTCTGCCTGCATGTGTGATTGCAGGCCAGAAGAGGGCACCAGATCATATTACAGATGATTATAAGCCACTATGTGGTTGCTCGGAATTGAACTCAGCACCTTTGGAAGAAAAGCCAGTGCTCTTAACCTCTGAGCCATTTCTCCAGCCCCGAGCAACAGTGTCTTAACCACTGAGCCATTGTCCTAGTCACTACTTTATTGCTGACTGGGTGTAGGGTGGGCTTTTGACACCTCAAAGCCCTTCTCCCATGATGTACTTCCTCCAACAAGACCACACCTCCCAATCCTTCTCAAACAGTTCCACTCCCTGGTGACTAAGCAGTCAAATGTATGAGCCCACAGGGCTATTATTATTCAAACACCCACAGCCACCTCTCCAGCCCCACACTTAAATAAAGTCTCCTTAGAGCTGAGTCAGAATAGACCCAAATACTGTTTCCCAGAGTGTTTTCTGTTTGTTTGGAGGTAGGGTCTTCTGGAGCCCATGCTGGGTTAGAGCACTGTGTAGCTGAGGGTGACCAGAAACTGATTTTCCTTCCATTTCCTCCCAAATGATGGGATTACAGGTGCATGCCTCTGGGTCTGGGCCTGGCTATATTTTAGTTTAAAAAAGTTTTTTGGGGGGAGGACTTTTGAGACAGGGTTTCTCTGTGTAGCCCTAGCTGTCTATAGCCCAGGCTGGCCTCAAACTCAGAGATCCACCTGACTCTGCCTCCCAAGTACCGGGATTCAAGGAGTGTGCCACCATCACTCAGCTTAATTAATATATTACTCATTATCATCATCACCATCACTGTCATCATCATTATTTTGTGATGGTCTCACTACTATGCAGCCTTGGCTAGTCAGGGACTCACTTTGTAGAGAAGGCTGGACTGAATTTACAGAGATCTGCCTGCCTTTCTGAGCGATGGGATTGAAGGTGTGGGCTGCATCTGGCTACTATTATCATTGTTAGTGTTATTGTTTGTGTGTGTGTGTGTGTGTGTGTGTGTGAGCATGACTATTGAGCCTCCCCTTCCACCGTGTTTGAGACATACTCTATTACTGTGTGTGCTAGGTAGTCTGACTTGCACGTTTCTGGAGACCCCTATCTCCTCTTCCCATCTTGCACTGGGGTTACAGACACGCTTCACCTGTCTGGCTTTAAGAGGGTCCCGGGGAGCCGGGCATGGTGGTGCACACCTGTAATCCCAGCACTCAGGGAGGCAGAGGCAGGTGGATCTCTGTGAGTTTGAGGCTAGCCTGGTCTACAAAGTAAGTCCAGGACAGCCAAGGCTACACAGAGAAACCCGTCTCGATAAACAAAAACAAAAACAAAAAGAAAGAAAGGAAAGAAGGAGGGGTATGAAGTCAGGTCTTCAGGCTTGCATGCCAAAGGTTTTATCCACAACACTATTCACCCACCTTATTTTTTATTTTTTTATTTTTTTAGGCGTAGTCTCACTCTGTAATCCAGGTTGGCTTTGATCTCTCCCTGCCCCTTGGATTTAATTATTTTTATTTTTAATTAATTAATTAATTAATTAATCAATCAATCAATCAATCAATCATATATACAATGTTGTCTGCATATACACCTGCATGTCAGAAGAGGACACCAGATCCATTATAGATGTTGTGAGCCACCATGTGGTTGCTGGGACTTGAACTCAGGTCCTATGGAAGAACAGCCAGTGCTCTTAACCTCTGAGCCACCTCTCCAGCTCCCAATTATTTTCATTTTTATGCATGGGTTTTGGCAGACACGTGTGTATGTGTAC